CTCATGCACTGTGTTGTGTCCATGTGTGTTCTCATGCTCTGTGTGTGTGTCCATGTGTGTGCTCATGCACTGTGTGTGTGTCCATGTGTGTGCTCATTCACTGTGTGTGTCTGTGTCCATGTGTGTGCTCATGCACTGTGTGTGTGTCCATGTGTGTGCTCATGCTCTGTGTGTGTGTCCATGTGTGTGCTCATGCTCTGTGTGTGTGGGCTCATTCACTGTGTGTGTCTGTGTCCATGTGTGTGCTCATGCTCTGTGTGTGTGTTCATGTGTGTGCTCATGCTCTGTGTGTGTGTCCATGTGTGGGCTCATGCTCTGTGTGTGTGTTCATGTGTGGGCTCATGCTCTGTGTGTGTGTTCATGTGTGTGCTCATGCTCTGTGTGTGTGTCCATGTGTGTGCTCATGCACTGTGTGTGTGTCCATGTGTGTGCTCATGCACTGTGTGTGTGTCCATGTGTGTTCTCATGCTCTGTGTGTGTGTCCATGTGTGTGCTCATGCACTGTGTGTGTCCATGCACTGTGTGTGTCTGTGTCCATGTGTGTGCTCATGCACTGTGTTGTGTCCATGTGTGTTCTCATGCTCTGTGTGTGTGTCCATGTGTGTGCTCATGCACTGTGTGTGTGTCCATGTGTGTGCTCATTCACTGTGTGTGTCTGTGTCCATGTGTGTGCTCATGCACTGTGTGTGTGTCCATGTGTGTTCTCATGCTCTGTGTGTGTGTCCATGTGTGTGCTCATGCTCTGTGTGTGTGGGCTCATTCACTGTGTGTGTCTGTGTCCATGTGTGTGCTCATGCTCTGTGTGTGTGTTCATGTGTGTGCTCATGCTCTGTGTGTGTGTCCATGTGTGGGCTCATGCTCTGTGTGTGTGTTCATGTGTGGGCTCATGCTCTGTGTGTGTGTTCATGTGTGTGCTCATGCTCTGTGTGTGTGTTCATGTGTGTGCTCATGCACTGTGTGTGTGTCCATGTGTGTGCTCATGCACTGTGTGTGTGTCCATGTGTGTTCTCATGCTCTGTGTGTGTGTCCATGTGTGTGCTCATGCTCTGTGTGTGTGTCCATGTGTGTGCTCATTCACTGTGTGTGTCTGTGTCCATGTGTGTGCTCATTCACTGTGTGTGTGTCCATGTGTGTTCTCATGCTCTGTGTGTGTGTCCATGTGTGTGCTCATGCTCTGTGTGTGTGTGCTCATTCACTGTGTGTGTCTGTGTCCATGTGTGTGCTCATGCTCTGTGTGTGTGTTCATGTGTGTGCTCATGCTCTGTGTGTGTGTACATGTGTGGGCTCATGCTCTGTGTGTGTTCATGTGTGGGCTCATGCTCTGTGTGTGTGTTCATGTGTGTGCTCATGCTCTGTGTGTGTGTCCATGTGTGTGCTCATGCACTGTGTGTGTCCATGCACTGTGTGTGTCTGTGTCCATGTGTGTGCTCATGCACTGTGTGTGTGTCCATGTGTGTGCTTATGCTCTGTGTGTGTGTCCATGTGTGTGCTCATGCTCTGTGTGTGTGTTCATGTGTGTCCTCATGCTCTGTGTGTGTGTCCATGTGTGTGCTCATGCTCTGTGTGTGTGTTCATGTGTGTGCTCATGCTCTGTGTGTGTGTCCATGTGTGTGCTCATGCACTGTGTGTGTCCATGCACTGTGTGTGTCTGTGTCCATGTGTGTGCTCATGCACTGTGTGTGTGTCCATGTGTGTTCTCATGCTCTGTGTGTGTGTCCATGTGTGTGCTCATGCTCTGTGTGTGTGTCCTTGTGTGTGCTCATTCACTGTGTGTGTCTGTGTCCATGTGTGTGCTCATGCACTGTGTGTGTGTCCATGTGTGTTCTCATGCTCTGTGTGTGTGTCCATGTGTGTGCTCATGCTCTGTGTGTGTGTGCTCATTCACTGTGTGTGTCTGTGTCCATGTGTGTGCTCATGCACTGTGTGTGTGTCCATGTGTGTGCTTATGCTCTGTGTGTGTGTCCATGTGTGTGCTCATGCTCTGTGTGTGTGTTCATGTGTGTCCTCATGCTCTGTGTGTGTGTCCATGTGTGTGCTCATGCTCTGTGTGTGTGTTCATGTGTGTGCTCATGCTCTGTGTGTGTGTCCATGTGTGTGCTCATGCACTGTGTGTGTCCATGCACTGTGTGTGTCTGTGTCCATGTGTGTGCTCATGCACTGTGTGTGTGTCCATGTGTGTTCTCATGCTCTGTGTGTGTGTCCATGTGTGTGCTCATGCTCTGTGTGTGTGTCCTTGTGTGTGCTCATTCACTGTGTGTGTCTGTGTCCATGTGTGTGCTCATGCACTGTGTGTGTGTCCATGTGTGTTCTCATGCTCTGTGTGTGTGTCCATGTGTGTGCTCATGCTCTGTGTGTGTGTGCTCATTCACTGTGTGTGTCTGTGTCCATGTGTGTGCTCATGCTCTGTGTGTGTGTTCATGTGTGTGCTCATGCACTGTGTGTGTGTCCATGTGTGGGCTCATGCTCTGTGTGTGTGTCCATGTGTGTGCTCATGCTCTGTGTGTGTGTTCATGTGTGTGCTCATGCTCTGTGTGTGTGTACATGTGTGGGCTCATGCTCTGTGTGTGTGTTCATGTGTGGGCTCATGCTCTGTGTGTGTGTTCATGTGTGTGCTCATGCTCTGTGTGTGTGTCCATGTGTGTGCTCATGCACTGTGTGTGTCCATGCACTGTGTGTGTCTGTGTCCATGTGTGTGCTCATGCACTGTGTGTGTGTCCATGTGTGTTCTCATGCTCTGTGTGTGTGTCCATGTGTGTGCTCATGCACTGTGTGTGTCCATGCACTGTGTGTGTCTGTGTCCATGTGTGTGCTCATGCACTGTGTGTGTGTCCATGTGTGTGCTTATGCTCTGTGTGTGTGTCCTTGTGTGTGCTCATGCTCTGTGTCTGTGTTCATGTGTGTTCTCATGCTCTGTGTGTGTGTCCATGTGTGTGCTCATGCTCTGTGCGTGTGTTCATGCTCTGTGTGTGTGTCCATGTGTGTGCTCATGCACTGTGTGTGTCCATGCACTGTGTGTGTCTGTGTCCATGTGTGTGCTCATGCTCTGTGTGTGTGTTCATGTGTGTGCTCATGCTCTGTGTGTGTGTCCATGTGTGGGCTCATGCTCTGTGTGTGTGTTCATGTGTGGGCTCATGCTCTGTGTGTGTGTTCATGTGTGTGCTCATGCTCTGTGTGTGTGTTCATGTGTGTGCTCATGCACTGTGTGTGTCCATGTGTGTGCTCATGCTCTGTGTGTGTGTCCATGTGTGTTCTCATGCTCTGTGTGTGTGTCCATGTGTGTGCTCATGCTCTGTGTGTGTGTCCATGTGTGTGCTCATTCACTGTGTGTGTGTCCATGTGTGTGCTCATTCACTGTGTGTGTCTGTGTCCATGTGTGTGCTCATGCACTGTGTGTGTGTCCATGTGTGGGCTCATGCTCTGTGTGTGTGTCCATGTGTGTGCTCATTCACTGTGTGTGTGTCCATGTGTGTGCTCATGCTCTGTGTGTGTGTGCTCATTCACTGTGTGTGTCTGTGTCCATGTGTGTGCTCATGCTCTGTGTGTGTGTTCATGTGTGTGCTCATGCACTGTGTGTGTGTCCATGTGTGTGCTCATGCTCTGTGTGTGTGTCCATGTGTGTGCTCATGCTCTGTGTGTGTGTTCATGTGTGTGCTCATGCTCTGTGTGTGTGTCCATGTGTGTTCTCATGTTCTGTGTGTCTGCCCATGTGTGTGCTGATGCTCTGTGTGTGTGTCCATGTGTGTGCTCATGCACTGTGTGTGTGTCCATGTGTGTGCTCATGCTCTGTGTCTGTGTCCATGTGTGTGCTCATGCACTGTGTGTGTGTCCATGTGTGTGCTCATTCACTGTGTGTGTCTGTGTCCATGTGTGTGCTCATGCACTGTGTGTGTGTGTGTGCGTGTGTGTGTGTTCATGTGTCTGCTCATACACTGTGTGGTGGCCAGGAGGAGCCCCCAGCACAGTCCTCAGGCCAAGACCACCAAGCAGTCTCGTTCTGAGCTCCCCCTGCTCTCCACTCTTCCCAGGTTCGCAGCAATACCCGTAAGCCAGCGTGCAAGCAGAGAGTTCTCTACATAAGCCGTGTGTCAGGTCCGTGACAAGCCACGGTCTGTCACATGCAAGCAGACTGGAGGGAGAGAATGGGGACCTTCAGCACAGCCTCTGCTGCTGAGCTTGCCCATCCCTAGGTTAGAGATCCATGCTGACCCAGCACAGCGTGAGTCAAGACAGCACCGAGGCAGCTCAGGACTCCTCTCGTGTTTCACAAGCTCCTACAGGAGAGGCTGGCGAGATGGCTCAGTGGGTGCTGGCTACCAAGTTTGATAACGTGAGTTCAATCCCACAGGGTAAACGGAGAGAACCAGCCCTCAAAAGCTGTTCTCTGACCTTCACAAAACATACACACATAAAACAAAGTTTAAAAAAAAGAAAACAACCAGAGTAATGGAAAGCACTTTTTTTTTTTTTTTGGTTTTTCCGAGACAGGGTTTCTCTGTATTGTTTTGGAGCCTGTCCTGGAACTCACTCGGTAGACCAGGCTGGCCTGGAACTCACAGAGATCCGCCTGCCTCTGCCTCCCGAGTGCTGGGATTAAGGAAAGCACTTTTTAAAAAAATCTATGTGAATACTTTTTTCTTTTTTTGCCTTTTCGAGGTGAATATTGTTTATAATCTTCACAGTGTTTAAAATCTGAAGTAATGGGGCTGGAGAGATGACTCAGAAGTTAAGAGCACTGGCTGTCCTCTACCAGAGGATGCAGGTTTGATTCCCCACGAGTTGGCTCAGCCCCTCTCTACCTCGGTCACAGAGGACCCAGGGCCCTCTCCTGGCCTCTGCAGGCACTGCACACAGATGGTGCCTACATCTAAGTAGGCAGAACACTCATACGTACAAAAACAAAACAAAATCTGCAGTACTTCAGAGGCAAAGGTACTCTAAAGGAAGACGGTGTGTCTCCCGAAAGTCTTAGAAGACGTAAAGCAGAATTTCAAGGCGGTTACCTTGGAAACCACTTGGCGTGCTCCACCCAGGGGTCGTCTCCAGACTCCCAGCATCTCAGGCCACCATCACAGCAAAAGCACTTGACATCGTCACTGTGTCCTAAAATTCATTTTGAAGCACACTCATGAGCACATACGGTTTGCCCACTCACACTGATCCAGACCCCCCCTGGACGTGGTGTTGGACCTTTAAGAGTGTCAGGCCGGGTGTCTCACCTGTGTAGTAAAAGCCCGCGCTTGCCAGGTGCTGAGGGTCCACGAGAGCCCTGGAAGGCCAGCTGAAGAACGTCCTGAGGCGCGCCGCCTGCGTCTGCATGCTCAGGTTGGAGACAGGGTACCTTGACGCGGCCAGGCTCGGATCTTTCAAGAACGGGCAGCTGGGGAAATGTCTCCGATGCTCTGACAAGGCGTCATCCTTCGGCTCCCAGTTGCTCAGCTTGCCACCGCAGGCAAAGCAGGCCACCCTGTCTCCAGGTCCTACGTAGTAGAAGCCGGCTCTGGCCAGCTCGGCCGGGGACAGGAAGGACAGGGGCCACGTTTGGTAGGTGAGTAACCTGGCCTTCTCAGTATCCATCGCAAGGTGGCTGGGACTCACACCGGGGCAGTCTGGGTTTGCTCTCAAGTTCCCAGGGTCCGAGGGGAAGCTCGAGTAGGAGCCGCTGAAGTAGCCAGTGTTCTCCAGGCTTGCAAACAGCGAAGGCGCGGTGGTGCTGGGCGCCGGGGACGGCAGGGACGGCTGCGGGCTGGCTCCCAGGCTGCCGGCCGGATCCAGGGACCGAGCAAAGCTGCAGCTGGGGTACAGCTGTCTGTGCTTCTCCACGGGACTGTCGCCTTGCTTCCAGTTGTCCAGCATCAGGCCGCAGCAGAAGCACTTGACCTTGTCGTTGACGCCCGTGTAGTAGAAGCCAGCGCGAGCCAGGCTCCTTTCCGAGACGGGAACCCCAGAGGGGAAAGCCGAGAACGTGGACAAGCGGTACAGCTCACATGAAAAGTCGTACTTCAGCTCAAAGGTGTCCGCACCCTTCATCAGTCTGGACAGGAAAGCACTGTCTGGAGCCATGTTCATGACGAAACGGCAGGGAGGGGAAGGGACCAGCCTTCCTCTGGGGAGGTAGTTTTGTGCATGGCTTTTGGTCAGTTTTACTACTAGGCTGAACACCTAAAATAAGAACAAACTCATTTTTTTTCTTCTATGCATTTTAGGATTCAGTAGGATGAGACTCTAAATCCTACCCTGATACATTTTAAGGCACAATCACACGCAACCATACCTTTGCACAATCTTCATGCATACGATAAAAACTAGATTCTCCCTAAGAGCCAATGTGTGACTGGAAACATAGTGTTTGGGTACTTTGGGCCAGGCATCTCGAGGGGCAAGCCTGCTTCTCTCTGCCACAAGGAGGCACTAGTGGTGTTCACTCAGCCTGCACAGAAAGTCTGGTTCATGAAGCTATGTATGTACTCATAGAATGAAACATGGATCAGACACAATTTTAAAATAGTAAACCACTTCAAGACTTTTGCTTGGATTTTGTTTCCTGTCAAAGGACCAAGATCAGACTTACTAATTGATCCTCTACTCAAAACACCATGTTTGTTCATCTGCAGCACTGGGGACTGCTAAACCCTGGGCCTCGGGCTCACAAAGCCTGGATCATGCTCAATTCTACAACAAGTCTCAAATTCTCTCTCTCTCTCTCTCTCTCTCTCTCTCTCTCTCTCTCTCTCTCTCTCTCTCTCTCTCTCTCTCTCTCCCTCCCTCCCTCCCTTTCTTCCTTCCTTTCTTTTTTGGTTTTTTTTCAAGACAGGGTTTCTCTGTGTAGCCCTGGCTGTCTTAGAACTCACTCTGTAGACCAGGCTGGCCTCAAACTCAGAGATCAGTCTTCCTCTGCCTCCTGAGTGCTGGAATTAAGGGAGTGGGCCACCAGTATAGGCTTGAGACTCAAACTTTCAGTTTTGGTCAGAAATTATGTCCCAGAGAGGCTTCTCTGAGCACATATTTATCAAAACAAACAAGCAAACAAGTCTACTGCCATCTGAACGCAGAGACCTTCGAATTGAGAGTCTCTCATAGAAGGTCTCTCTAGCCATTAGCAAATCCATCCTGTGTCAAGGCACGGGGGTTTGCTGCCACTGGCTGGGGTGGCTTCCTGCCGCTCACAGGCTCTCTACCAAGGACACCAACTCATCGTCTGCAGATGGCAGGAGAAATCCCACAGCTGTCAACAAGAGTCTCCCTCAGGAGAAATCGTTGCGTCTAAGCTCTCTGTCCCCTCCATGGGATTATGTAAAGCTGGTCGTCCTATGACATTTTCTTTCAGAATAAACTGGTTCATTTGTCAAAATAACTCTCACACTTGTGGTCTATTTAAAAGTCGCGCAGTGCAGACCTTTAAAATACCAGCGGCGACAGTTTCTCAACTCTCATGTACTGTCTGCCTTACTTCCTCTAAATCTGCTGTGCCTACCAGAACATTTTGTTCCTGTTTGTTCTCTGTCATTGTTGCAATCTCTGAACGGGTCAGCGACCTCGTGAGTACACTTCCGAGCTCCTGCACAAAGCGGATTACTCACTTCCTCCGGATGACCGGCACTCATGTTTGGATCTTTCTTAAACGTGGGCACTATTTTAAAAGTGCCAGCCAGTGGGAGATTGCCAGGCAACTTTCTGAAGAATACTTCATCACTGTGCCCTGCCACAGAACGCCTTCCCTTCCAGGGGTCAACCGAATGGGAACACCCACGCCTCAGACCATCGGACTACAGACTTCAAGTCTTTAGACAACGATCCAGAAAGCCAGCTGAGGGATGCATCTGTGTGTCCATGCACAAAACTACCTCCCGAGGTTAGACTGTGCCCCTCTCAGGGGCTTAGGCCTCCATTTTGAGGTGTTTTGGTTTACAGAAGAAACAGAAAAAGGCTACAAGTAGTAGAAGGGTTTGTGTCCTTTGTAAACCTGTTTAAAACAGAGAAATTAAAGTCAAATAACTCTGGGTTATAATACAATGTCTTCTTCTCTTTCTCCCCCCACCCCCTCTTTTTGGAGACTGGGATTTCCCTGTGTGGTCTAAGACAGCCTCAAACTCGTGATCTTCCTGTCTGTTTCCAAAGTCCTAGGATTACAAGCAAGGTCCACCATGATCCTTTTTAAAGATGCTTTTCCAAAATAGAAACTGGGATGTAGCAAGAAGCTGCTACTTTGGGCCGGCGGCGGGGCTCAGTGGTAGGGCACTTAGATAGCACACTCAAGGCTCCTGCCTCAGTCCCCAACTCTGGGAAAACAGTGCTGGGTGCTGTCAGTCAAGAAATCTCACACAGAACTTCTTACAGACCAGAGCTCATGGGTATATATGGAAATTTATTTATACTTAAAAAAAACTTGCAGAATTCACACATACTTTGTACCCGTTTCCCAAAGTTAACATCTTATATAACAATAATGCAATTACAAAACTAGAGGGAAACCCTTTTGTTCCCTCTAGTTCCCTGTAAGAGCTGTGGGTGTTCTTAACCCCGGGGCCGGCTCTCCAGCCCCAATGTTCTTCAAGGTAATTTCAAGAGTCACAATACTTTACTCTTCTCGAGTGCCTTTTTTTGTTTTGTCTTAGACAGATACTCACATTACAGCTGGGCTAGCCCCAGCTGGCCTCAAACAGTAATATGCTGCCTGCACCTCCTGAGTTCTGAGCTTACAGACATGAGCCACCAGCTCAACTTCTGTCTTTATTACTAACGCAGGGCCTGGTGGCACGGCTGAGTGGTTAGGAGCACTAACTGCTCTTCCAGAGGCCCTGAGTTCAACTCCCATCCACCACATGGTGGCTCACAACCATCCGTATTGGGATCTGACGCCCTCTTCTGGCACAAAGTGGCACATGCAGGGAGATCATTCATAACACATACAATCAATAAATGGTTTTTAAGGAAGAACTATTAATGCATATTGATTAAACAAATGAGTGGATGTGACTGTGACATTTACACATTCGCATATGCTGTGCTTTGAACTGAACCTTCCTTCAAATCCTCTTTCGCCCTCCCTCCCACCTCTCCATCGAGTTTTAGTACCGACCTCTTCAGAGAAACGAGGGCTGCTGTCTTTATGCCTCTGCCTTCCTTTGTTTAACACAATTTCCTGTCCCAGCTGTTTCTTCAGATTATACTTTTCTCCTTACAGCGCGCGCACACACACACACACACACACACACACACACGTTTATCTGTTAACAGGCATCCAGTCTGTCCCGTTGTAAATAGTCATGCAATAAACAGTGTGGTGGGCTCAACGAGAATGGCCCCCATAAACTCATATATCTGAATGTCTAGTCCCTAGTTGGTAGACTGTTTGGGAAGGACTAGGGGGCGTGTCCTTGCTGGAGGAGGTGTGTCACCAGAGGTGGGCTTTGAGGTTCTAAAAGCCCACACTAGGTCCAGGCTCTCTCTCTGCCTGCTGCCTGTGGGTCAGGGTGTGGAGCTCTCCAGCACCGTGTCTTCCTGCACGCGCCCTGCTCCCTGTCATGATGATCATCGACCAGGCCTCTGACACTGTAAGCAAGCCCCCGTAAAGGCTTTCTTTTATAAATCGGCTTGGTCATGTGTCCTCACAGTGACAGGTCACTGACTAAGACACAGGGTAGTCAGGAATTCCTCCAAGCTGTCTCAAACTCCTCCGTGTACCTATCAAGGAGCGGGAAAGCTGGGTCACATGGCAGCTCTGTTTTTAGTTTTCTGAGGTGCTGCCCTCACTTCCACAGACCCCTTCCTAGCACCCCAGGGTTTGTTTCCCTCACATCCTAACCAGCATCTGTAGCGACACCTCTAGCCCTCAGTCCCTTCCTCCAATTCCACTTTCTCACAGTCACTCGATTAGCTGCATTCTTCAGAAAGCAGGTGCAGCCCCCTGCCTCAGTTCCCCACTGAGGTGCAGCCCCCTGCCTACCTGCGTTCTCAAGCCTTTTGGCCACCTCAGAGAAACAACTGCTCCCTCATGAATCCACCCCCTCCTGCTGCTTTGATTATAGACTCTTCTTCACTTCTCCTCAAACCCTGCACAGCCCTAGTCCCTCCACAGTCCTCGTGCTGAGTCCCGCTGGCTTCCAAATGAAGATCACCTCAAAGCCCGCTTTCTAGTCCAGCCTCTCCCGGGTCAGGTCCTCCCAACCAGGCCAACGGAACATCTGTCCGTGAGTCCCATCTCCACACGGCCAGCTATTCTGCGTGCCAGCACCCCTTCAAACACTCTCCGTATTCATAACATCAGATCCACAGGGAGTGTTGTCATCTGCCAAGGGGACCAACTTCCTCTTGGACATGTCCTGATCCCTGGCCCTGTCCACGAAAGTGTGTAGACTCCTCTTTCCCTCACAGCGGTTCCTCATGGGTCAGCCTGACACCTCCAAGTCTTCTCTGCCTACTCTACCATTTCCAGTAGACCTGGAGGGTGGCTCTGTGTCCCCACCCTCTGGGGTGCTCAGCCTGACCATCTCTGTGACACTGCAGAGCAAATGCGTCCTTTTCCCTCCACCTTGGACTGTTTCTCCTTCAGAAGAGGAAGTACACTCTAGTTTCTGTAGTAGCCACTGTCACAGGCCTAGGAAAGATACTGAGCCTTGTAGCTGCTGTGTGAGACACATACCCCAGGCTGGCCTTGAACTCCTGATCCTCCTGCCTCCTCCTCCTCCTCCTAAGTACTACGATTACAGGCCTGCACTACTAACCCTAGCAAAACTTCTTGTTGAAGAATTTCTTAGCATAGCTAACAGGAGGGCTCGTCATGTCCATGGCACATTCATTTATTAAGTCACATGTCATAGGGTTTCAAGGACGGGTGTCAGTCCCTTTTTACAAAGGAAACAACCTCGTGCCAGACATCCCTTTCATCCCAGCACTCTGGAAGCAGGAGCAGGTAGATATCAATGTTTCCTTGAGTTCAAAGCCAGCCGTTTCTACTTACACAGTTCCAGGCCAGTCAGGGATACACGGTGAGGCCCAGAAAAAAAAACCACACGTGCCTCAGTTCTGTCGTTGCAGAATGGAGTTAATAATGGTGCCCACTTCTTACAATTGGCGACTAATCATACAATTGATGAAACTGTACAGTCTGTACAGTCTATAGGGCAGACCCTGGCTTGTGGTGGACAGAGAAACGACCCCAGCCATTTCCTGGCTAGATTAAGAGCTGCTACAGAGAAACTGGGTGCAGTGGCTCAGGCCTGTAACCCTGGCACTCGAGGGGTTAAGGCAGGAGGATTTTCCAGAGTTCAAGGCCAGCCTCAGCTGTAGTGTGAGAGTGGTCTCAACACCCATCACTCCCCCAAACGAAAGAGCCCTAGTGTGTTTCCAGGCTGATCCCTAAGAAAACGACCCCTCCCATGCCAAAGCTTCCCCAAGCCCAGGTTCTCACTGAGTCAACATCCTGCAAGTCACCCCGCGGCAGGACCCGCACGGCTTCGCAGGACCGGGATCCAGCCACCCCCGGGGACCCTCGAGCCACCCCAGGGACACTCGCCCGATCCACCCCGCCCCGCGCGCGCGCGTACTCACCGCAGCCCGTCCTCAGGCTCTACGCGCCAGCAAGGGCCTGCGATCTCCGGGGTGGCACCTGTCGCCTGGTCTGTGGGGTGCGGCTGGGCGCCACGACGCCTTTAAATCGTCCAGCCTGACCGTGCCCACCGCCGCACCCTGCCCCGCCCAGGGCTGGCCCGCCCGCCCGCTCGCCCGCGGTGCTTTCCTGCGAGGCCCGGGGAACTCCAGGGTGAAAACCACACGCACTTCCTCCTCGCTCGCGGTGGCAGCCCCGGCCGGGGGTTTCCGCGACCCTGCGGTGCGTGACTTCCCGGGCTCGGCTCGTCCCCCGGCCGTTTCCTGAAAGCTCGCACTTGGCGGTGGCCGGCTCCCTTGGAAACAGATGTGCACCCCATGGGTCGGCCTGCCTGGAAGAGGCCCTGCCCCCGCCTCAGCCCCCAAGTCCTTCAAGTGAAAAAAAAAAAAAGGTCACGACTTTCCAGTCTACCACGGCCGAATTGAAAAAAAAAAAAAAAAGGCAAATTTGATGTTGGGGGGGGGAAACCCTTGTAACTATGTTAAAAGTCTCTCTGGTTATTTTCACTTTTTGTTTTGGTCAAGGAAGAAGCAGATGACAGAGCCGTTTTTGAAAACCTTGTAGATCGCCTTGTTGTTTTAAAAAAGGATCAGAACTACAGCTGCAGGAGGATCTCTGTGACTCCGGGTCAGCCTGATCTACACAGTGAGATTGTTTTAAAGAGGTTAGAACCGCGTAGTTCTTGCATTTGGAAGGGTGCTTTGTTTGAAGGCTGGAAGACCGCTAAGCAGCTAAGAGCACTTGCAGCTGTTCTTGCTGAGGGCTGGGCTTCTGTTCCCAGATCCACAAGTCACCTGAAACTCCGGTTCCAGGGGATCCAACGCCCCCTAATAGCCTCCACCGGCCCTGCACACAGGCATGAGGCAAAACACCCGCACAGATACACACACACACACACACACGTACGTGGGTACTTTGGGGGGTGGTTTTTCGAGACAGGGTTTCCCAGTGTAGTCCTGACTGTTCGGCTGTAACTCGCTCTGTAGACCAGGCTGGCCTCGAACTCAGAGATCCACCTGCCTCTGCCTCCCAAGTGCTCGGATGAAAGGAGTGAGCCACTGCCCAGCCATAAATATTTTTTAAGTTAAAAATCTGTTGCTTTGATGGGTTTTAGTAGGTATTTTTCTTGTATTTTTGTTTTGTTTTGCCTTGCTGTTCTTTGTTGTATAAACAGGATGAACAGATGTAGAAAAACAAAATCCCTTCCTTTAGCGCTTTTCTTACAAGGGATGACGGTTAGCTGTAACAGTCAGTGCTCTAGGAAAAGCTTGACTCTAATCCGTCTGTCTCCTCCACTTTCAGTGGGTTAGCAGCCCCTCAGCCCTCCACGAGCCACAGATTCGGTTGTCTCGAAGGGTGAGAGGCCTACCCTGGTCATTCTGGGAATAGGATGGCTGGCGTGTTGGGGATTTAGCTCAGGCTGTGGCAGGCAGGTGGGTTTGACGACTCAAGTCCACCTGAGGCACTAGGCTTTTGACCACGTGGAGATGTCCAGCCACCTTTGAGCCTCCTTTGAGGCAGAGTCACGTGGCCAGTCTCCCTTGCAGCGTTTGCACAATTTTATTGCTGGTAAAGTTATTAAACAAGGTGTGGCACCAGGCCTGTGACCCAGAATGTGAGAAGCTGGAGCAGAAGGCAGCTGCGACCTCAGAGACCACCAAGGTTACATAATGAATTCCAGGACAGCCTGGACAACAGTTAGACTGTGCCTCCAAATTGATAAGAATTAAAGCTAATTGTTTTCTGGATAAACTCTAACTTGCGTATGGGCAGGGGCAGTATGTCTTTTACTCGATGCATCAGCAGAATGTTTGCAAACACTAGGTGCTTAGTATCTTGATTAATAAATTGAGCCAACCAATCCTCTGGGTTTTCTCTGCTCTCAGTCTGCATCCATATCTTCAGGAGCACGGCGCCCAAAGGTGCCCCAGGTATGTTTGCTCACTAAATAGCCATCTGCAGACACTAGTAATTTATCTCTGAACTGTGTGTATGGGCGTGTATGCACATGGTAGTGCCATGCTTACAGGCCAGAGGGTCAGCAGATGCCCTGGAGCTGAAGTTAGAGAAGCCAAGAACAGAATTAGGGTCCCCTGCAAGAGCAGACGCTTGAGTGCTGAGCCATCTCGCCAGCCCTAAGTAGGCTTTCCAGGCGGGAACCATTAAGGAAGCATTTGGAGGAAGAAGAGTAGACATACAACCGATATTTTCTCCACTCACTTTTCTTCTGCCGTCAGTACCAAGCCAGGGGAGAGTGACAGGGATTTGCACTCAGACCCGGTCTGACAGGCATCCTCAGTGTCTCATTAAGTAACCAAAAGTATTTTCCCTCAAAGGCCACCAAGATTTCCTCCTAAGTGAGAATTTCACATCATAAAACTTGAGTTCAACCTTTCCCAACTGCAACTTTTTGTTTGTCTGGGACAGGGTTTCTCTGTATTGCTTTGGAGCCTGTCCTGGCACTGGCTCTGTAGACCAGGCTAGCCTCGCACTCACAGAGATCCTCCTGCCTCTGCCTCCCGAGTGCTGGGATTAAAGGCGTGCACCACCAATGCATGGCCCCAACTGTGATTTTTAAGGTTTTAACTTTTATTTTATTTTACCGAGACAGGGTCTTCTCTTCATAGCCCTGGCCATCCTGGAACTCACTACATAGACAGGCTGGCCTCAGACTCCCAGAGATCCACCTGCCTCCACCTCCCGAGTGCTGGATTTATTTTTTAATATACAAAGATTTTAACCAAGAACTTAGAACCAAAAGTAAGAATAAAATCCAACGAAAGCCATTCCACCCTGGTTCCAGAGTAAGTGACAGGGATTTCCTGGGTTAGTGACAAGTTCACAATGTCCTGTGCATATCAGGGTCAGGCACAGTGACAAACCATCACTTAAGAGGCAGAGGCAGCCTACAGAGGCCTGGGAGTTGAGGCCAGCCTAGCCCACGTAGAAAGCTCCAGGCCAGACAAAGCTAGATAGTGAGACCCTGTTTCAAAAATAAATAGAGAAAGCCGGGCGTTGGTGGCACACGCCTTTAATCCCAGCACTCGGGAGGCAGAGGCAGGCGGATCTCTGTGAGTTCGAGGCCAGCCTGGTCTACCGAGCGAGTTCCAGGACAGCCTCCAAAGCAATACAGAGAAACCCTGTCTCGAAAAACCAAAAATAAATAAATAAATAAATAAATAGAGAAATGCCACCAGATCAGTTTTAACCAAGTCCTCATGAAGATCCAGTTGAGCAAAAAACATTATTTAATATAGATATCAATATTCTGTAATGATAAAATTTGCCCCTTATAAATTGTAGTTTATTTTAACTTATCTTGACAATGAAATAAAATTTATCTGGCATCAAAGCACACAGATTCAAATTTTTTATATTAAATTTATTTATTTAGTATGTATGTGGATGTGTGTGCATACCACAGCACACACATGTGAAAGTCAGAAGACTTTCTCGTGGTGGGTTGGTTTTCTCCCTGCATCATATGGATATCAGGGAATTGAACTCAGGTCATTAGACTTGATATCAAGTGACAGACAATGATATATGAGCTGTCCCCTTGACCTAAGGTACGGAATCCTTAAGTATATGCCTGCATAGATTGCTTATTTATTTGTTAGTTTGTTTTCAGTGTAGGGTGTTGTGTAGTCCAGACTTGAATCTTTGATCCTCCTGGTTCCTCCTCCTGAGTTCTGGGACAGTAGGGCACACTACCATGCCTGGTTTATGTGGTTCTAGGGATGAAACCCGGGGATTTCCATTTTCTGGGCAAGCACTTTACCCCTGGGGTTCCGCTGCCACCCCAGATCCACGGATTGTTTTGGGTTTTGTGAGGTGGGGTCTTATTCTGTAGCCCAGATTAGCCTGGAATTCACTATGCAGCCAAGGTTGCCCTTAAACTTGTGACAATTTTCCTGCCTCAGCCTCTCCAGTACTGGTTTATAGGCCTGAGTCACCACGCCTGGCCAGCTCTGTGGATTTTAACAGGCATGTGTACTCAGATAACCAGCAGCCAGATTAAGAACAGGGCATTTTCTATAACCTCTGAATCCTCAGTTGGTACCAAATCGTCCCTCAGCCCTCCACACCACAGATTTGGTTGTCTGTTCTTGAACCCCTTACGACTGGAACTATTGATAGGTGTCCACATACTCGCTTCTGCCAATCAATACAGTTTTCAGTTTCATCGGTGTCTGTGATGGTTAGTCTGTATTGCCAACTTGATTGGATTTGAAACTACCTGGGAGACACACCTTGGATTCGGGTCCTAGACTGAATAAGGGGGGGGGGAGCCAGCTGGACAATACCGTTCCTTTTCCTGCTTCCTGGCTATGAATACAATGTGGCCAGCAGCCTTACACGCCCGCCACCATGCCTTCCCATCCATGTAGACTTCATCCCATCAAACCATAAGCCAAAATTAACCTGCCCCCTTGCATTTGCTTCTTTGTAGGTATTTAGTCACAGCAATGAGAAAGGTAACTAACCCATTGTCCTTTTCATTATCTCCCAGAATCCCCTTCCCTGTACACCACTGTCCAGTGATGTACTCTCCTGCACTGGAGTGTCTTAATTCAATCCCTTGCCGAGGAGGTGGAATGCCATCTCAAAAGGAAAACAAACAACGCAACTGCCCAAGGTTCGAGTCCATACTGTTTCGAGTCCCCACCAGCAAGGTGTGAGAAGGGTGTCTGTGGCTTCACGGACGTTGCATACTTGGTATCTTCAGCTCTTGCAGCTTCAGCTCAGCAGACAAAGGGGGGCTGCCTCCTGCTCTGGCTTTTAGCCGCTGGTGGTGACAATGTTAAGCACATGGCCTTGTGTCCTCTAATGGCTTAGGTGTCCTTTGTGACTGTTCACATTTCAAAGCTATCCTTCTGGTGTTTTGTTTGTATAGTTGCTGTTCACTTTTTGAAAAAGTCTAGTGTAGCATGCCTGACCTTGAACCTGCAACTCTACCAAGTGATGACGTCACAGGTATGAGCCACCGTGTCCAGGTATTTCCTCCTGTTTGATGTGTGTCCCTTTTCTTTTTCTTCATTTACTGCTCTAGTTAGAGCGAGGCCTGAGTTACATCTTTGGGGGACAGTAGTGCTAATAAGCTTGCAATAGATATTTAAATTGAAGGTGAATTTTCCTGGTGGGGGGTGAGACAGGATTACATATATCATATATCCTAGAGGGTCTCAAACTGGCTAAGTAGCTGAGGATGGCCTTGATCTTCCTGTCTCTACTCCTGAGTACTGCAGTTGCAGGGGTCCAACACCATGCTCAGTATATGCAGTGCTGGGGATTGAACCCAGGGTCTTGTGTGTGCCAGGTTCTCTAGTGTCATTTTTCTTGTTGTGATAAAATACCCTGATAAAATGCAGCTCAGGCGAAGAAGGGTTTATTTGGCTCACAACTCCAGATCACAGTCCATCACTGAGGGGAAATTAAAGCCGGCCCTGCTAGCTTTCTTTTGTCTTGTTGTATTCAGAACCCCATGCCTAGGGAATGGTGCCGCCCATTACCAGCGGGTCTTCTGACCTTAGAGATCAAGACGATCCCTCCCGTAGACATGCCCACAGGCCAGCCTGATTCAATAATTTCTCCACGGAAAAACTCTCTTCTCAGGTAGTCAAGGTTGTGGCAAGTTGACGTTTAAAACCAACCATCACACGAGGCACGTACTCTACCAACTGTGCGACACCCTGAGGCCCTGACTGAATTTTGCAGGAGCCAAATCAGCTGAACATACCTCCCTTGTGACAGGCCAACTGCTGGAACCAACAGTCCCCACTGGCAGGGACATAGCTATCCCGGGTCAGGAAACCTCGCTTAACACAGCAAAATGGGCTGAGACCAGCGACCGCAGGTCAGGAAGGACGTCTGAGGGCTGTCTGTGTACTGCTCCCTGCTGGGAACGCCTGCCCAGTTCACCTCGTGCCTGGCTTTCTGTAGGAAGTATTTCTTAGCCATATAAGCCTGGCACAGTTCTAGGAAGCTTTAGCTGCTGACCAGATGAATTCAAGACATTTATGGCCAAACCTTTGTGCCCACTGATGAGGTAAGAGGAACACGGGTGATGTCCCAGGATTCTCTGGGCTCGCTGGACTGTTGACCAGAAGGGCGGGTACAACCATAGTCCCTTTCTCAGGGGCATGGGAGTGTGGCAAGAGAGGAACATGAGTGCTGGAACCACTTACTCTCACGGTCACGTGACACAGTCCCAGCTCTGCAGAAATATGCACCCAGCCCCCTCTGAACCTGGAGTGAGAGAAGCCGGAGAGGGCTGTCCAATCGCTTCTGCACAGTTTTTCAAACGTAAAAGCTCCGACCATCCAGAAAGCAGGGGGCTTGGCTTAGCAAGTCAGGGGCGGTGCTGCTGTATTCCAGGGCAGGAGCAGCAGAGCTCCAAGCAGGCCTGTATAGCCAAGGCTGGGGATGGAGTTGGGTGTGGCAGAGCACCGGCCTCGGGCCCAACGCCCAGGCCCTTAAAACAGAAAGGAACTGTGCAGTCTTGTGTCACAAGTAGAGCCCAGTGGTCTTCCTCAGAACTCTATGTGCTTTTTCCTAGCTGTGCGACTGCTGTGGTCACGCAGTATCAAGGTCGTCCAGCCCACATTTCCCCACCACCCGCGAGCCCCTGATGCTTGAGAACTGTTTACTCCTCCTGTGACCGGCTTCAGTAGCTAGATAAGGCTGACTGACACGAGGCGGGCAGGAGAAGCCCGCCTGAGCCACTGGCCATCCGCCACCCCTCTGCAGCACTACGCCCAGCCGCCCCCCTGCTCAGCCTTTGCCCTGCCTTATCTGGCTGCTCTAACCTAGCACAGACTTTCCCGAAGAATACAGCCTGCAGTCGTCACGCGCTCCTGGCGTCCATCCAGCTCCTAGAGTCTGAAGACTCTGGGTTACCGTTCTGCACCAGACTCTACCTCAGCCGTGAAGCAGGGGCTAGACATGCCCCTTACTGAGAACTGGGGTGGTGAGCAGCTGATACTTTTTAGTGTTGTATTAGTTACTTTTCTCTTTGCTGAGACAAAGTGTCTAACAAAGCCAACTTAGAGGAAGGGCTTATTTGGGGTCACGGTTTTAGAGTACCATCCCCACTCTTGGAGTAGGCATGACAGCTAGGGCAGCCCGAGCTGTGGCAGCAGGAGCCCGGATGGAACAACTGGCCACACTCTGTCCCCAGCCGAAAAGCTTCCATGCAAATACAAACCTCGGGTCTGGAGAGAAAGCTCAGTGATTCCCAGCATCCATATTGGGCAGCTCACAACTGCCTGTAAGTCCAATCCTCCAGGATATCCTATAGCTCTGCCCTGCAAGGACACACACACACACACACACACACACACACACACACACACACACATACACACGATATCCAAACACCAGTGGGGTATGTTCCATCTGCAGAAAATATTTGGATAACCTGTTATCATATTAATCATCACATTTAAGCCTTCTCGATGACACCAATGACACCAACCAGACTGGCAACGTGTGCACATGACTTGACACATCTATTCACAATGCACAGTTAGATGTCACAATATCTGCTGACATCCTGCACCTGTCCAGACGAAAGGGAGTCATGTCGAAACAGTACAGCTCTGCTAGTGGGGGAATTAGCTTAGATTTGTTCATATTTGTTTCTTTAAGAGACAGGACCACAATTACACAAGATGATCTGAAACCTACCAGCCTAGCCTTGAACTCAGACACTATCCTGCCTCGGATTATAGGCGTGTGCCCCAGACCTGGCCTCATTTGTTTAATTTTGGCATTTTAAATGCAAGTTCACTCCTGTAGTGGCACTACATACCTTTAAAGTGTCCCCGTTTCTGACGCAACTTCCCTCGAAGCACGCTTGCTCACCTGATGGCTTAGTCTGACTCCTGCTGCCGTCATAAAACATTCTGGCCCCAAGCAACCGGGAGGGAGAGTTTGTTTAGCACACTCCCATGCCACAGTCTTTCCTGGAGGGAAGTCCGGGCAGGAACCTGGAGGAGGAAACTGAGGCAGAGAGGCTAGCTGCTTGCTGGCTTGCTCCTCATGGCTTGTTCATCCTGTTTTCTTATACCACCATTGCCCAGCGGTGGCACCAACTGTAAAAGGAAGCTTTTTCTTTTGAGGGCAGCCTTCCCGCCAGCCTAGTTCTAGAGCCGCGTCAGTCCCAAATAAACACACAGGAGGCTATATTAGTTATGAAGCTGTTGGCCTTGCTTGTCTCTTACTGGCTAGCTCTGCTTTAAGTAATTACCCCATAATTGTTAATCTAAGTACGTCTCTTACTGGAGAATAGTTCCGGACTCCTACCACATGGCGTCACATGTCGACTCTCTTGTGTTTCTCCTTCCCAGAATCCTCCTGGACTCCTAGTCCCACCTATCTAGATTCCTATTGGCCAGACAGTGCTTTATTAACATAAGACTTCCCCAACAACCAACCTTCGGTGTGCTGGGCCTGCCCACATCAATCATTAATCAAAAAATGCTCCCACAGACAGGCCCGGGGCTATCTGATGGCGGCAATTTCTCAGTTGAGGTCCCCTCTCCCTAGATGACTCTAGTTTGTGCCAAGCTGACAAAAGCTAACCAGTGCTTTCTCTGTGTCCTTTTTACATTCTTTTTTTTTTTTTTTTTTTTTTTTGGGTTTTCAAGACAGAGTTTCTCTGTAGCTTTGGAGGCTGTCCTGGAACTCACTTTGTAGACTAGGCTGGCCTCGAACTCACAGAGATCCGCCTGCCTCTGCCTCCCGAGTGCTGGGATTAAAGGCCTTTTTACATTCTTGATGTCTGCTTTTTCAAGACAGAGCCTCATATGGCTAGGTCTGGCCTCATGTTTACTATGTAGCCGAAGGTAGTCTTGAACTCTTGGTCTCCCTGCCTCTACCTCCCAAATACTAGAATTGCCGCATGGGCACCAGGCCTGCTTCAGACTTGCCGATGGATCCAGTTTCTACCTTACTCTTCTGTCTGCCTTGGACTCTGTCCTGGATGCCTCCCGCAGACCAAACCGACTTCCTGGAAAGGTGGGAGCTAGGCCGGGAGGATGGAAAAAGTCTGTCTAGAAATAAGGTCATCAAGGAGTACAAGGAGGGCAGGCTGAGGGGACAGCTCAGTTGGTAGCATGCCTGCCTGATGTGTGTAGCCCCCCCTGGATAAGCACACAGCACTGGGTTTGCTCCCTGTAGGAGACTTTAGGGCTGCGCTGCTAGCCACACCCACCTTGGGCGTGGCTAGAGGTGTGTCCGGAGGTGGTAATAAAAGACGGTGCAGGAGAGATGCACGTGCTCTTTTCCTCTGCGGGTTCTGTGGCAGAAGCTGCACTGAGTCACCTTGGTTGCCTGTTTTCTCTTGTAAGTAATTTCCACAACAGTTACCTGTACCCTCAACAAGTGTGCTGCTTATCGTTACAGCGACAGATCCCCAACACCGTAAAGACCAGGTGTGGTGGCACACATATGTAATGCCAGCCCTGGCCGGTGGGGAAGGGATATATATATATATATATCTGCAGGACGATCAGTAATTCCAAGTCTCTTGAGGCCAGCCTGGGCTCCAAGAGACCCTGTCGGTTTTTTTTTTTGTTGTTGTTGTTGTTGTTTAGATACATATAGGGCTGGAGAGATGGCTCAGCCATCAAAGGCTAGGCTCACAACCAAAAACATAAAAGATACATATAAAGGCCTAAAAAGCACTTAATAGCTCTAATTAATTCCTGGAATTTTGTCTTAGATGAGTAACTTTGAAAAAACATTCAGAGGATAATACAGAGGCATTGGCACAACAAATAACTTGCAAATCACACAAATGGAGGAAGAACTGGAAATACACCAACATTAATTTTCAGGAGGAAGAAAAGAGATCCTACAGAAAATCCCACTTATACAGATGAAATGACCATCTGAAGCAAGATCCCAGTATGAACTTGTCAAACGGTGTGTGTGTGTGTGTGTGTGTGTGTGTGTGTGTCCCCAGAAATGTGACAATCACCTTCTGTCTCACTTAGGGTTTCTATTGCTGTCACCAAAAAGCAAGTTGGGAAGGAAAGATATTATTTGGCTTATGCTTCCAAATTACTGTTCATCACCGAGAGAAATCAGGACAGGAATTCAAACAGGGCAGGAACCTGGAGGCAGGAGCTGATGCAGAGGCCATGAAGAGGAGCTGCTTACTGGCTTGCTCCTCATGGCATGCTCAGCCTGCTCTCTTATGGGACCCAAAACCACCAGCCCAGGGATGGCTCCACCCACCACGGCCCTCCCCACTGATCACTGTTCTGGTAGAAGCCTCATCCCAGCCCCTAGCATCCATATACCGAAAGAGTCTGGGATGTTATGGTGAAGGTTCCACCCAAGACCCTCTCTCCTATCTCCTTCCAAACCCTGCTGCACTCAGAAAGCACACCAAATGATGACCCCTCCCCCAGAGATCCTCAAGACCACTCAAACAGGGTATTTAAACTGCCCCCCACAAAATAGATGTGTGGTGTTCCGGGTCTCTCTTTCCTGTCTCCTCTCTGCGGGGCTGGAAGGCCATCTGGGAGCGTTGTATCCATTAACCGTGGGCTTTTTCTAATTGGATTTGATTTGGTCTGATTTGGATTGCTGAATTGGTGGAGAGGCTTATCAGGGTGCAGAAACTCTTCAGTCACTAATTGAGAAAATGTCCCACAGGCTCACCTACAGCCTCCTCTTATTATGGAGGCATTTTCTCCAGGAGGGTCCCTCCTCTCAGGTGACTTTAACTTTCGTCAAGTTGACATAAAACTAGCCAGCATACCCTCCATCATATATAGTAAGGACAATCTGGATTCAAGATACCTACTTCTCATTTCGCTAAACTATGAGACTGGTAGTAATGCTACAGATGCCTGAGTTTTACCAAAGCACCTGAAAATGCTTCTCACCAAGCCTCTGCAGCCATGGGCAGACCATCACCACGCCTCCGCAGCCGTAGGCACAGACCAGCCAGATGACCATGCTGTTTGCGCTCTGGTGTTCAGTCAGGCTTGGCTCTTGCTAACAGGTCCATTTCCTATGGCAGAAGGTTTGTTGATTGTCTCTGAAGAGGAGGTGCTTGGGAGTCTACTACCGAATATGTTCTTTGTGAAATATTAGAGAATATAACCAAAAATAGATTGGGAATCGACCTGTGTGGTAGCACACACCATTTCTTAATCTCACCAATCGGGAGGCAGAGTCAGTCCGATGTCTTGTGAGTTCCAGGCCAGCCTGGTCTACATAGCAAGTTTCAGAACAGGTGGGTTACACAGAGAGACCATGTCTCAAGACAAAAACTAGGAGGAGAGAACCCAGTGACTTTGCTCTCTTAGCTTGTATAAAGTCTTGAGTTTGAGCTCAAGCACAGGGTGGGGAGGGAACTACTGGATGAAGATCTTCTACGGCATTTTTACAGATAGAAGCCAGTGAATTGGATAAAGTGTTTACAACTCAGGAAGATCTAGGGTTGGTTCAGTGCTCGCCTAGGATGTTAGCAGCCCTGGATTGACCCACAGCACCAAACAGCTGTGCATGTGGCGTACATCCATAGCCCAAACGCGTGGGGGTGGACACGAGAGGATCAGAAATCAAGTAACCCTACACTATGTGGTGAGTTTGAAGCCAGCTTGAGACCATGTCTCAAACAAAAAGGAATAGGAGGAGGAGGCTTATAATAATTGTGTTTAAGATTCCATTGTCAGGGCTACTTAGAGGACAGGTAAGCATGGTAGCTGAGCTCAGGAGTTGGAAACCAGACTGGGCAATGTAGAAAATCTTAGTCTCAAACAAAATACATTTGCTTCACAATTACAGGTCAAGACAGAACTGTGGAAATGGGACACGTAGTGTACCTTGTGTTGACCTGTGATCACACGGGCATGGAGGAGCAGGATGTGGAGAGTGCTGAGGTCTCTGGAAATGGGATGTGACAACAGCAGTGTCTGGAGACTGTAAACAATGGCTCTTTCCACCCATGTGACTCCCAGGACAGAACCTGGGAGACTCCTCTTTCTCCCAGCGAACAGTAACCTCAGTAGCTGGCACTAATGTGGCCAGCATTGCTGCCTTGCAGCCTCTGCCCTGTGGGTGGTCTCGGGTTGCAGCCTCTGCCCTGTGGGTGGCCTCGGGTTGCAGCCTCTGCCCTGTGGGTGGCCTCAGGCTGCAGCCTCTGCTCTGTGGGTGGCCTCAGGTTGCAGCCTCTGACCTGTGGGTGGCCTCAGGCTGCAGCCTCTGCTCTGTGGGTGGCCTCAGGTTGCAGCCTCTGCCCTGTGGGTGGCCTCAGGCTGAAGCCTCTGCTCTGTGGGTGGTCTCGGGTTGCAGCCTCTGCCCTGTGGGTGGCCTCAGGCTGCAGCCTCTGCCCTGTGGGTGGTCTCTGGGCGCAGCCTCTGCTCTGTGGGTGGTCTCGGGTTGCAGCCTCTGCCCTGTGGGTGGTCTCGGGTTGCAGCCTCTACTCCTGCGGGTGGGCACAGGCTGCTGCCATTGTTCCACCCCAGAACCTCCGCTGTCCTGCTGCTTAGTCAGCTCCTGCCAGACTTACCCATTGCTCTGTCTCCACAGTCCAGTGCAGAACGTGACTTTCAAATATCAAAACTCTTCCTTGCACAAGATTCCTGTCAACATCCTGTCATGAGATGGGGAGAGACTCAGAAGGTCTGACCCCTCCCTGAGGATCTACAGGCACTTCATAGTCTCTGGGGGAAGGAGACCAGAGAGACTTTCTAAAGTAACCCCTCCCTTGTGATCCTATTAGCATCCCTAATGAAGCTCACTGTGTCTCTGTCTCTGTCTCTCTCTCTCTTCTCTCTCTGTGTCTCTCTACTCTCCCCCCCCTCTCACACACACACTTGCTCACATACAGGCACACAGCCATAGGACGAGTTAGGAAAGGAAGACATCAACAGGACTAGTTAGGAAGAGGAAGACATCAGCAGGACTAGTTAGGACTAGTTAGGAAGAGAAAGACATCAGCAGAACTAGTTAGGAAGAGGAAGACATCAGCAGGACTAGTTAGGACTAGTTAGGAAGAGGAAGACATCAGCAGGAGTAGGAGGGCACAAGAGAGGGTAACGAAAAGGAGTAAATATGATTTAAATACATTAAGCATATGCATGAAAATGAAATAAATAAAAAGATGCAATAAGAGTAAGAGTATTCATTAATTGTTTTGTGGTGTGGGAGAGGGCACTCCCACGCCACAGCACGAGTGTGGAGGTCAGAGCACAACTTTCAGGGTCGCTTGTCTCCTTCCACGGTGTTGGCTTCAGAGATCAAACGCAGGTGCTCAGGCTCGGCAGCCTTCACACTCGGAACCTGCAACAAGAAGGGGTTCAAACCAGCTTTCTTACAAGAGAAGAGTGTTTCTTCTCTGGACGACAGAAATGGAAGTTGATTGCTGGAACTGGGATCTCACACCTGAGTCTCTGTGCAGTCTCCCGAGGCTGCCATCAGAGCCCCGGGGAGCTCTGCTCACCACCATGGCCCCTGGAGAGCTGACAGCATTTATAACCGTGCTCCACATTCCTCTCGGGCAGTCTGCTGCTTTCCTTCTCGGCATGCGCTATTCATGCGTGTTTAGCATAGTCCAGAGTGCTGCCTGCTGGGGCATCGCTTGCTCACCAGTCTTGGCACTATTAGAAAGTAAATGAGGAGAGAGGGAGGAACTCGCATCCTTAGTACACAGAGCCCAGCCTGGTGTGTGTCTGGTGAATGGGCACATACAGTCTTTTCACTAAGGAAGAATTCTGTTTCAAAATTTAACTGACAGCCTCCAAAACAATACAGAGAAACCCTGTCTCATAAAAAAAATAAAATTTAAGACATAGCCAGGTGGTTGGTGCGCTCAGGAAGAGGCAGCAGAAGGATGGAGTTCAAAGCCAGGCTCTGGCGCTTACTGACTTCAAGGCCGGCTTGAGCCCTGTGACACCCTGTCATAAAAAAGCACAAACACGGCCAGGCGTTGGTGGCACACGCCTTTAATCCCAGCACTCGGGAGGCAGAGGCAGTCGGATCTCTGTGAGTTCAAGGCCAGCCTGGTCTACAGAGCTAGTTCCAGGACAGCCTCCAAAGCCACAGAGAAACCCTGTCTCGAAAAACCAAAAAAAAAAAAAAAAAACAAAAAACAATACAGAGAAACCCTGTCTCGAAAAAACCAAAAAAAAAAAAAAAAAAAAAAAGGCACAAACACGTGTCGAGTAAATATCATTTTAAAAAATGGCTTAAGAAAGAAAGGCCCTCCCTCTATCCCTGATCAGGGTTTGGTGAACATATGTGAGGTTTCCTCCCAGCACGCAAGCCAGGAACATGTCAGACTGACTGAGCACACAAGCTTTTTATAAAAAAAAAATACAGAAACACCTGTAGGGGGTGGGTGGGGTGGAGCCTGCCTTTGAGCCCAGCACTAGGGAGGCAGAGGCAGGAGGAGCTCTGTGAGTTCAAGGCCAGCCTGGTCAACAGAGTGAGTTCCAGGACAGCCAGAGCTGTTACACAGAGAAACTCTGCCTCAAAACAAACAAACAAACAAAACAAAAGCCCACCAGCGGCTCAAGAGTTCACATGGGCAAAGCAATGACAGGAAAACCGCTGGAGACGTCACATTACACGGCCTCAAATTGTAAAATGAGTCTGTACTGGGAGAAAAATAAATAGGATAGAGGACCCAGAATAAAACAGCAAAGCTGTGCCCACTTAATTAGTGACAAAGAAGGCAAAGACTGGAAAAAGCTAGCGTGTGTTCAATAAATGGTAAGACTGCCTTCCTGCCGGGGAAGAGTGAAATTTGAAGCATTAATCTAACTAATACCTCTGAGCGCTCCAGACCCTCTGACCAAAAGGGCTGAGACCCTGCCTCCACCCCACCTAATCACTTCCTATCGCCAACCCCCAGGGCTGGGATTAAAGGCGGAGTCACCGCCCACCAGCTTCTATAGCTAGTTAGCTCCGCCCTTGGATCACCAGACAAACTTATTTGTCAGAACACAAACAAAATATCACACAACAGAAATTAGATCTCATCTTTCCCCCTTGTGCAAAAATCAATTCAAAACAGATTGAACCCTTAATTTAAAACGAGAAACACACAACACTCTGGAAGCAAAGGCAGGCTGTGAATTCAGAGCCAGGCTGGTCTCGAGATCAAGTTCCAGGACAGCCAGGGCTGTTATATGCAGAGAAACCTGTCCCAGAAAAACGAAGCCAAAACAAAACAAAACCAGAAACACTGAAATTTCTGGAAGAAAACATATAGGGGATGCCCTCCAAGACCTCCGGGACTGCATGAAATAAGTTTCTTCTGCACAGCAAGGAACACTTTCAGCAGAGCACACGGCCCATGGAATGAGAGAAAATCTTAACCGCAACACTTCAGACAGGGGTGTTAATACCCAGAATTTACAAAGAACTGCAGAAATTCAACACTAAGTAAATGCTACTGCCAATCGACTAATGGGGCAAACGAATTGAACAGGGTTTCCAAACAAAGAAACACAAATTGCCAATAATGTTTTTTAAAGTTCAGTTTCCCTAGCTATCAGTGAAGTGCAAATTAAAATTACTCTGAGACACCGCTCACCCCAATCAGAATGGTTGCCATCAAGAAACCGGACAAGAAATGTTGAGAAGAAAGGACCCCTTAGTCACTCTTGGTGGGGTACAGGTGAACAGAGCTGTTAAGGAAATCATTTAAAGATTTATTGAAAGGTAAAACCAGAGCTATTTCTCTCCTGTCCTATCCCCAGAGAAATCCACACCCTCCCGCAGAGAGGTTTGCACCCCGTATTCAATACTGCAGAGTTGAAAACTCCACACCCTCCCGCAGAGAGGTTTGCACCCCGTATTCAATACTGCAGAGTTGAAATCAACCTCATTGACCATCAACAAATGAACGGGAAATGAAAACGCGGTTCACATATAAGCTGGAATTCTATCCATCTCTCAAAAAAAATGAAACCACAATATATGCAGGAAAATAGGTAAGTTTAGAATGTTTAATATTAAGCAAAGTTACAACCTCTGGAAGAAGAAAATAGTATGCTCTCCCTCACAGGCAGACCCTAGCCTAAAACACACCTTTGAATATGTAAACAAATGTCTGTGCAGAAAGAACGAGGAAGGGAGATTTTTAGGTGATGAGGAAGGACTGAGAACCACAATGGACAGGTCACAAAAGCTGATGTCAAGGCCCTGCTAGTTTCAACTTCGTCACGGATTTTCTGGGGTTTGGCGGTGTGAAGCCGCAGTGTCGAGATAGCCCCGGCCGCAGTAAAAGCTCATGCACACGTGTGTTTGGGACCTGATGATGTTTGTTTGTATATTTATTTATTTATTTATTTGTTTGTTTGTTTGTTTATTTGGTTTTTCGAGACAGGGTTTCTCTGTATTGTTTTGGAGGCTATCCTGGAACTCACTCTGTAGACCAGGCTGGCCTCGAACTCACAGAGATCCGCCTGCCTCTGCCTCCGAGTGCTGGGACTAAAGGCATGCGCCACCAACGCCCGGCTGATGTTTTTTCATATGCAGGTTCTCTATAATAATGCTTAGCGAATAAACACGAGGAAGGACTGTCTAACACTCAGAAAACACAGACAATTGGGACGATTTAAGACAGAATTCCCTGCCTATTTGCATGTGCTCAGAACTCTTTAAAACTACGTAGCGACATGTGCTGACCCCCTCACGTGGCCGGTGACATGAAAAGACCCATCACCTTCATTCTGCTGATGGAACTGACAGCACAGAGAGTGTTTTTAAAATCTCCAGGTCACACACTAGACATAACCGTAATGTGTCATACTTTCAGCCTGTCATTTAATTCTTTTTTTTTTTTTTTTTTTGGTTTTTCGAGACAGGGTTTCTCTGTATTGTTTTGGAGGCTATCGGTCCAGCCCAGCCTCGAACTCACAGAGATCCGCCTGCCTCTGCCTCCCGAGTGCTGGGATTAAAGGCGTGCGCCACCACTGCCCGGCATCATTTAATTCTTTAGATATTAAAATAAAACCATGCAAAGTGCAGTTTTAACTTAACAGTATCACTTGGCATAGTTTCCACGGCAATAAACACAGCTTCGCTACCATTTACGGTTACATGTTCCATTACACAGAGCTGGCAGGAGACAGTCCCGCATACTGTGAAGATAACCGCCTTGGCCAACCATTCCTTGGTCACTCTCTGACGGGATGGTGCAGATTTTGAGAAGCACGGTTACTGAGTCCAAGAGGTTATACCTCACAGCAGTAAACGCCCACGGCTGGCCGGTTTTCCTAACTTTATTCACTTATTATGTGTGTGGGGGTGTTTGCCTCACTAGTAAAGTGGCCAAGATGGGGATGGCGATTCGGCTCATCAGTTAAGAGCACCTCAGCTACTCTCTGCGGCTGCAAAGGACTCCCACTCAGTGCTCACATCAGGCAACTCACAGTCACACGTAACTCCTGTTCCAGGAAACCCAGGACCATCTTCCTTCCGTGACCGACAGCATGAATCTGGTATACACACATACACATTCTTTTTTTTTAGTTGAGAAGGTTTAAAGTTGAAAAGACTATAGTTGTTGTTGTTTTTAACTAAGGTAGTTTGAAGTCACTTCAGAGCATGATCCCATCATAAGTTTTGTCAAGAATGACGATGCTAGCCGGGCGGTGGTGGCGCACGCCTTTAATCCCAGCACTCAGGAGGCAGAGGCAGGTGGATCTCTGTGAGTTCGAGACCAGCCTGGTCTACAAGAGCTAGTTCCAGGACAGCCTCTAAAGCCATAGAGAAACTCTGTCTCGAAAAACCAAAAAAAAAAAAAAAAAAAAAAAAAGATCCAGAGTTTGACGCTACTTTGAGCTACATTGTAAGTTCCAGGCTAGCCTGGGCTACAGAGTGAGACTGAGGCAGGTAGGGGTAAGGAAAACTTAGGAACCTGGGATTCCATGTGCATAGGCGACATGCACACCCCTCTCCTAACGATTGGCAACCTGGACCCCTCCGCATGCAAACCGCTTGGAGCAACGGTGGCTCTCCACCCTGACAATGGGAGGGCAATGCCCCATTTCCCTTCAGACCTGTCAAACATGCCCCGACACACACCTGGGAGTGGAAGATAGGCTCTGTCAAACCTAAACAGTTTCAGGTTCGTGTATTTAAAGGCAAAGCACGTCCTCTGTGTGCGCTTTGGGGGCGGGGCCTATAGTCACCATTTTACACCCATGCATGATTGGATGTGCAGATTGTTAACTTCAGAAACGTCATGGAAAGGACAAGAGTGGAAAAGCTTATATATAGCCTAGGCCTGTCAATAAAGTCAGAGAACCCAGACAAGAAGATCGCTCAGTTGATAAAAGCACTTGGTGTGTAGGCTGCTAAGCTGAATCAGTCCCCTGAGCCTACACAAGAAAAGACAGATTCCTGAAAACTGTCTGACCTCCACACAGGCACTGTGGCCACACATGCTCACGCCCGTGCTCATACACACACACACACACACACACACACGCACGCACGCACGCACGCACGCACGCACGCACTAAAAACTTAAAGACGGAGAGATATTTCGACACAGACCTTACTACCTAAGTTCCTGGAACCCATGCAGTAGAAGAAAACTGACTTCTGAAAGTGATCCCTGAGATTTCATTTTTATGCCATGGAGCGTGTGTGTGCAACAACAACAAAATAAACCAGAATAATAAAAATTAAAGCAAAGCAGAACCACACATACTGCACCCCTTGGCAATTAGCTCCACTCCCTCCCAGACCCCATAAGAGGAGGACCCAAACAGCAACACTGCCCTTCGGTGCCCCGGCTCAAGCAGCCTGCTGTTTCCCACAGACCGTCTCGCACTCTCTTTGAATAAAACTGCTTGCTACCTTGCTTTTTATGTGCGTAATTTCACTTCTTTGGATAAGACGCCAAGAACCTGGAAGCATCCAGTCCAGACAGTGACCCCCAGAAACAAGACCCTACCTCAAAAACCAAGACGAGCAAAAGCGACTACATTGACAAGGAACCCACAGTAAGACACCTGCACTTTTTTCTGGTGTTACTGGACTAAATGTTTGTGCTGTGTCCCAGTATTCATAATTGAAACCCGATCCCTGAGTGCAGGAGCCTTAGGGTGATCAGGTCACAGTGTGTGTGTGTGTGTGTGTGTGTGTGTGTGTGTGTGTGTGTGTGTAAAATACTCATGAGTTGGGTTTGTGCCTGTAAAGACACAGAAATTTCATCCTCACTTCCTGTCAGTGAGACTACCTTCCAGACACAGGATCTGTGAGAATTTCAGTTAGGACAGTCTAGCTAGCCTCCAGAAACACGGGAAGTATGTGTTTGTGTAAGCTGCCCTGTCTACAATAACTTAGCATAACACCCTACAACATTAGAGACGATGACGTTTTTCACAATGACTGGAAGGTTATCCTTAAAGGTTCCCTTTGAAGTTGCTTACCAGGGGCGTGGTCTCTGAATGGAGTCTGCCAGTACCGGGCTCTCATCATCCGAGGATTCCTGTACCCTCACACCCTCATGGGCTCCCAGAATTAACTTCTGCTGGCCAGGGCAGCAGCCTGAAGCAGCTTGGGAGGAGCATGGCCTTGAACATATCAGTCATCAGCAGAGTGTGATATTATATTACTGGTCTCTGCGAGCTGTTATAGGAGCTGTACTTGGCATGGTGCCTGGAAATGGAGGAAATTCCACTTGCGGACTGTAGGTGGGCCCCCACAGATCGTCAAGTAAAACCACGTTCAGCCAATAAGAGTGGAGTTGGATGACAGCATCCGTTACTGCCTTTGGGTTCCGCCACACATTAGTGGAAGGCATGCTCTTCCTGGAGGGACTCTACAGCCTGGAAAATTATCCCCAAACAGGCCGTTATGTTCCAGGGGCTCTCGTTAGGGAGCGCCCATTTGCCATGCTATCTGGAGCTTTCTTCTTGGTCCCTTCTCTTTGGTTCCAGCATTACTTCACATCAGCCTCCTGTGCACCTAAGACTGTCCCAGCATCTGCTTCCTCAAGATCCAAACGACAGACCATTGTCTAGACTGCCCTCCTCTGTGCTTCCAAACTCCTACTCATCCTCCCAGCCTCAACTCCGGTTCAACTTCTTGATGAGTTTTCAGGAAGTTGTTCCTTCCTCTCTGTGTCCATGATCCCACACTTAGCTCATAGCAGAGAGAGAAGAAAGGAAAGGAGATGTGTTTTTGTTCTGCAGGGAGTGGGTTGTTTTGTTTTTCTTGAAACGGAATTTCTCTGTGTAGCCCTGGATGTCCTGGAACTCACTCTGTAGACCAGGCTGACCTCGAACTCACAGACATTCACCTGCCTCTGCTTCCTGAGGGCTGGAACTTAAGGCATGTGCCACCACCAACCAGAAAAAGAGATGTTTTGAACACTCACTTAGAGTTAGAGATGAATGGATGTATACACACACACACACACACACACACACACACACACACAGATACATAGTCTGAATTTCATATTAGTTTGGGCAAGAATTAGTAATCTCATTTTGTAGATAAGTATTTTTGCTGTAGTGATCTTTATTCCAGAATATTTTTTCTCTTTTCTTCTAACAAAAGAACTTACTATTTATTTTCACTCTATAGTGGGTGCTTACTATATTTTTGTGTGTGTGTGTGTGTGTGTGTGTGTGTGTGTGTGTGTGTGTGTGTGTGGTGTGCAGCCTAGAGGATAACTTTAGGAACCATTCCTCAGGAGTCACCCATCTTAGGGTTTTTAGAGACAGGGAGTAGGTTGTTTGGATAGCAAGGCTCAGGAGTCTACCTGTCTCTGTCTCCCCAACACAGGGATTACAAGCACATGTCACCCAACATGCAGAGCTATTTTACAGGGGTTTGCAGGTTGGAACTCATGTCTTTGTTCATGCAAGGCAAGCACTGTAGTAGCAGAAGCATCTCCCTTAGTAGGTTTTGAGATGCTTTGTTGGTTCTTGTAAGCAAATACAACCCGAGTTCTCTGTGACAGGTAAGTGGGAGATGCCTACTGCCTGAGCACATGACGGACAGCTGGGGAAAGATGTATCTGGATAACGCTGCTAAAGTGTGCTGGTGTGACTAACACGGGACCAGCTCCCACAGATCCCATCTGCTGAGGCCAGGACTCCGTGAAACTGAAGCCACTGGGCTCCAGAAGGCAATTCTGGTATTTGCACTGGGGCTTTCACTTTCAAAAACCCTGTCACAGGCCAGCTGATCCCAAAGCTGGTTTAAGGGTCAAATGCAAAGCCAGCAGGATTGCAGCAAGCAAGGGAATCTCAGTTTCTCCACGGATAAAAAGGAAAGTGCCAGTCCACACATAAATTAGATGTGGGGGGCATCTGCCTGTACCCCAGCACTTGAGAAATGGAAGCAGGGGATCAGATGTTCAATGTAGGTGCAGTTTTCCCCTCCAGGAGCCATTTCCAAACTACCACACAGACTTACATGAACTGCGAATGCTCGGCCAGTAGCTCAGGCTGCTTACTAACTATCTCCTCCATATCCCTTGTCTGCACTCTACTATCTGGAAGTACATTTGTTAGCATGGCAGGTTCATCTTGCTTCTCCAAGGCTCTCTCAACTCTCTGACTCCGCCCTTCTTTCTCCCTGTACCCTGTTCGGTCACCCTGCCTATGCATTTTGCCTGGCTATTGGGCAATCAGCTTTTATTAGCCATGAGAGCAATGCAAGTTCACAGTGTGCACAAGGACTGTTCCACAGCAGTTCAAGGTCACCCTTGGCTACAGCGCTGCAGAGTGAGATCCAGGCCAGCCTGGGGTATGTGAGAATAGGAGCTGTCTTCTGATGTGTGTACATGTGTGTACAACACCAGGGAATAGGGGCTGTCTTCTGATGTGTGTACAACACCAGGGAATAGGGGTTGACTTCTGGTGTGTATACATGTGTGTACAACGCCAGGGAATAGGGGCTGTCTTCCGATGACTGATGACTGGACCACACGTGTGTACAGGAGGGCAGGAAACTGTTGTTTCAGAGTGCGTATCTTTAATGCACAAATGTCTCAGCATATCACATTTACTTTTGGACCCCAAGTCTGAACAGCTGAGCTAAATCTACTGAACTGTTCCACCACTGTGGGGCTTGGGTTTATCTGTTTCCTGTTTTCTTGGCCTGAAGTTGAACTGTAAAAGATGATCATCTGTAACTACTTCCAAAGGGGGGGATCTCATTAATTCTCAACACCCTAGAAAGCTGATTAGGAATAAAGGAGAAGCTGTAGTTAGCTTGGGTAAGGGGAGTTCACGTACATGGACAGACAAAACTCTGAGATAGGGTATTGCCTTTTTGATACTGGGACACAATGTCACTTACAGAAGTTCATACTCTCTGTAACTGTGCAATCAGATTACAAAAACTGTTGGCCATTTTCTTCCTTCCTTCCTTCCTTCCTTCCTTCCTTCCTTCCTTCCTTCCTTCCTTCTTTTGTGTGTGTGTGTGTGTGTGTATGGGGGGGATCTCAAATAGCCCAGGTTTGCCTCAAACTCACTGGATAGTCAAAGGTCATCTTGAACATCCGCTCTGCTGGCCTCCACCTCCAGACTGCTGGGATCGAAGTTGTGTATGATCACACCTGATTATGCAGTGTTGGGGATTTGACCCAAGGCTTTGCACAAGCTAGGCATGCACTCTGTGAATCGACCCAGTGAGAGCTGGCCTCTCTGTGCTAGGCTGCATGGCCTACAGGTTGACCCAGACGCGCTGGCCCAAGTGAGTACTGCCCTCTCGTGGCAACACCTTGAACTTCCCTCCCGCATCCTGTCTGCGCATTTCAGGTACCGCAGACGTTATTGCAATCCTGTCGCCTGTGAGAGTCCCACCCCACAGGGCTCACAGTGATATCCCAGCCTTCAGCAGCTGAGCTGGTTGAAATTGCTTCAAACCTGAAAGGCAAAAACAAAATAACACATTGACTGAGCGGGCTTTCTTCTTGCTCGGCTGTCCATCAAGAAAGTGGCTCACCCAGGATAGCCAGAACTTGGGTAATCCTCCCACCTCAGCCTCAAGTGTGGAGAATAAAAGCATGAGTCACCACATTCAGCCTTGTTCACCTTCTCAATAAAGTGAAAATCCTCTTCCATGAGGAAAGCGGACTAATTACATATCCACCAAGCGGTTCTGGAGTAAGGTAACGTGAAGGCTCTTCCCAGGGCTGTTAGCTCTGCTTCCCAGGGCTGTTAGCTCTGCTTCCCAGGGCTGTTAGCTCTGCTTCCCAGGGCTGTTAGCTCTGCTTCCCAGGGCCCTTAGCTCTGCTACCTCAACACGCTCCTCCTTGCTTCCTAAAGTGCTCATCTGTTTCCCTGTTGCCGTTGGACATAAAGAAAAACAAAATAAACTTCAATGTGACTATTTTAGAACTTTGTTCTTTTTTTTCTTTTAACAAAAAAAGCAAAAACAAAGGAAAGCCCAAAACCTTTCCTTTTGAAGGATCAACGATCGAATATCATTTCACCCAACGACAAAATGTATGCTTAGCTGAGCTTTCCTCCTGGAGGCCCAATAATTGAATACTGTGTCACCCAACAGCAAAACGTACGCTTAGTATGCACATTGCATGCACAAAGCTTGGGCTTAACCCCTGGCTCACTCACTCTCGCACCCCCCCAAAAGAAACATACTTGAATCTACTAAAAGATAAAGAGATTTATTAGCATACACACCTGCACGGAAAACATGCAAAATATGAGAGTCACAGCGAGGGCCGGGTGACTAACGCCAGTACGCTGCCCAGAAAGGAACGGGACTCCCAGAGGGTGATGGTCACACACCGCTAACTCGCGAGAGGGGAAGGGCAGCGTGTTCTCACTAGGCACAGAGCCTCTAGGTAGTAAAGCTTAGGATCTGTGACATCTGCGGGCATGGTGTGGCTGTCGTCTTCCGAGAAGACGCGGGCCGGCCGGGAGAAAGCCTGTTTGCACCTCCATCTCTCTCCGCTAAGGTAAATGTCCTCTGAGATTCAGATCTCTCCCACAGGAGGGCAGCCTTTTCAGGACAACTCGGGGTCCTCAGCCACCCTGAAATACTCTGGGGAGCACAGTGTGAGGCGGCTATCTAACCCCTCCCCCACATACCTTTGCAATTACTTTTTGGTAGAAAATGGAGTGGGGGAGGAAGGTTGGGCAGATGGCTCAATGCTTAAGAGTACTGGCTGCTCTTGCAGAGGACCTGAGTTCAGTTCTCAGCACCCACGTGGCCGCTCACAGCCACCCGTAGCTCCAATTCCAGCGGATCCAACACCGCCTTCCAGCTAGCTCCCTCGGTGGCACTCCGTGAATGTGGTGTGCATATACACATGCATGCTGATTTTGGTTTGGTTTGGTTTTGGGTTTTTTTTTTTTTTCGAGACAGGGTTTCTCTGTATTGCTTTTTTGGAGGCTGTCCTGGAGCTCTCTCGGTAGACCAGGCTGGCCTCGAACTCACAGAGATCTGCCTGCCTCTACCTACCGAGTGCTGTGATTAAAGGCATGCGCCACCAACGCCAGGCTGCATGTCCTTTTAAAAAGAGGAAAATATAGAGTTTCTGATTGGAATAACACCCAGTGGTGGAACACTTTTCAGCTCGAATGAGGCCTTGAGTTTCAAGGTGGAGGAATTCCATTTGGACGTCCTAATTTGGAGAACAAAACCATTAGGAA